TGTAGCAAGAGCAGCAGGTGTAATTTGAAAAGCAAGAGATGTAATGAGACTTGAAAGGATTTAATTGAAAAACTATGATCAAAGAGTGAATTCAGGCAGAATCATTCAACTCAAGTAGCCATGTGGAATAATTTGTCATTTACAATGGTCAAAACAGATACTGCTGCATAAATGACTTTTAGGAACAGCCAGGCATTTTAGCAGCCTGTGAAGAATATGCCAGAGTAGAGGATGAAGGAAACTTGGAGGACAGAGCTCCTGGACAGAGTGGTCCAGTAATTCCTGCATGTCACTCCAATCCATCACCAGTAGTTTATGAAGCTGGTCAGAATGCCACCTTCTCCTGTCATACTCAAAAATAATTCACCAGTACAAGCTCACAAATCACCTCTTTCCACAGGCAGAAGAAAGAACAAGGCAACCTTTCCCAGTAGCACAGCTGTCCCTGAAGAAACACATCCCTGCAAAACAGCCTCATCTGCCAGGGGCACCTGGGCCACGCCGTCAGACCACGTTTTACTCCCTTCTCAGAGGCACTACCCTTTCCCAAACCTCCAAAATACGTCTCCTTGCATCTTCTTCTCGACCTGTGCCCTTACAGACCAGTGTTCCAGAGTAAAGAGAGTGCTGAAGGAGCAGATAAACCCAGCAGGTGTTTATTTGTAATATTATTATTATTATTATTACTATTATTATTATTATTACTATTATATCTTAATTTTAATTAATTCTTAATTGTTTTCCACAATTGCACCTTTTCACCCTCAAAGCTATTGATACATTGCTATGCATCAAGACGGAGTAATTTGTTGGTAGGGCTGGGGAAAACAGGAAGATGCATAAATTGCCTTTCAAAACCAATATTACTTTCTACATTTGAGGTTTTTTTCTTTTAATCTGAATAGTACAACTGTTCTTCAATAAACATTAGCATTTACAATACTCATTAACATGCTTTTGATTGCTGATATTCCTGAATAATTGTAATTTAAATAAATTCTAATAATGTAGATTATCTATAACTTTATATTAGTGCTTTCAGGTTTTTTCTAAATGGGTGCACTCTAATTTATTATCTAATTAAAAACTGAGTTTCTGTTACATTTTTATGCTTTATGCTTAGATCACAGTTTCTAATCTCACTTGTTTGTCACACCAAAGCTACCAAGAAGCAAAGTGAAATCGTATCAGTATTTTTTTTTTACATAGACTGAAGGGTTATATGTTATTTGCTAAGAGATAACACTGTTGTCATGTTTCTTCAGCAAAAAAGGCTGACAAGACTTGTTTCACATCTGTCTGAATGATATAACAAACCCATGAAGAACTAGTGATGAAAAAGCTGGTTTGTTGACAATCTATTATTGTTAAATGCACCCAAACACCAAGATTTAGGCACTGCTCATTAGTGCTGTATTGTAGCTCAGGATTTTGTCTCTATAAATACTTCATGTCAAAATATTTTTCAAATATATTCTAGGCTGTAAGCCTTTCCCTTACAACCCTGAAGAGCAACATCCTCTGAAGCCTTTTATCAACTGAATCACACTCAATGTTCATTACCCACCGCAGCCAGACGATGACACTGCCAGCCCTATGGCCAGCTGCCCTTCCTGCAAATGCCATCTGACCTGTCTGCTTTCTGCTCTGCTCACCTACCAATACCACTCAGGTCCCTCTGTCTTCCCCTGGCCAGACATCACACACTGATAGCTTTCAGCTTCCATCTATTGATTCTATTCCATCTATTTGATTCTATTTCTATCTATCTATCTATCTATCTATCTATCTATCTATCTATCTATCTATCTATCTATTCCATCTCCTGAGATTTCTTTCTTAAAAATAATCTCATAGTTGCTCATATCATGACTTAGTCACAGAAGAAAAGGAGGAACTCCCCTTTTATCTCTAACTGGCCCACTGAGATCTTCCATTTGGGTCTGCAAAGGCCAGAAGGCAAGACAGGATCCAAGGAAAGCACACACTGTCCTTGCAGCTCCCTGCCACAGGCACAGCCACCAAGACAACTGTGCCGACACTTTGGTACAGGAAGTTAAGGCAACACCTTCTAATAGCTCTAATGACATCACTGGACTTTACTGGATAACTAAACAATAAGAGCAGGGTTGTGTTCCCATATGAAAGCCTTTACCTGAAATAAATCCTTAGGCAACAAACAGGCAGTCATCCTTCACTCGGCCCACAGCTGCTCTCCTGTCTGCTGTTAACTTCGATCAGGCTGGCTTGTGGGATCACATCTTCAGCAAAACTGCTGCATTTGTCTGGGATCTCATTAACTATTCTGATTAGTTTTACCAACAGCAAGTTAAAATGGTGTGTCTGGCTCCTGTACCTTGAAATTTTCCTAAAGCATTTGATGTAACTTCTGTTATGACAGCACTGCATTTATTCTGATTTCAAGTTTCACTGCTTAGATGCCTGTTCTGCATTTAGCTACGAATAGCAGATATTTCATATTGCTACTTACATAACTACCAGAATCTTCACAAAGGACTAAAAACCTCATGTACAATATTTGATGTGACTTCAAAGAAAAAAAGATCTTTGTCTTACAATTGAGAGATAAATAACTTCACCCACCTAACTGGTGTGCTTTGTACACCAGTCCTGTGTAACTGTGTACTTTAGCAAATGCCTGAAAGACGACAGGGAGTCTAAGCCAGCTTCCTCTCTCTCCATGGCAGTGCATCTCTCCTTGCTCAAGGGAGACATGGAGTTACCCATTTCACTTTCAGAATAACTCTTCAATAGCAATTTCAGGTTACCATGACTGCTAGCAGTGCCCAACAGAGTCTTTCTATTCAAAATCTTTATGTTAGAGGAACTCAGACACTTGCCAATAAATGCCAATTCAGGCATGGTAGTAAGTACCAGTAATAGAAACAGAATTACAAAGCTCCTTCAGAAGAAAGCAGCAGGCAAGATCCTTTTCTCCACATTTCTGTTGCAGGCTAGCAGAGACAATTCTTCCCCAGCCTTCAGGAGTATTTGCTATAAGCAATTTTAAAGACCAGCAGGTTCAGAAGTCAGAGCTCTGGTTCTCCCTCTAGCCTCTCCTGGTACAATGTTTGATGAGAACTCATTTTCAGACAGATGAAAAATGGGGCACAGGGCAACACCAATTCCATTACAAGAAAGACCTGGACATACTGGGATGAGTCAGTGAGGGACCACACATTTATTCAGCCAGGTCCCTGAGGATGTCATGTATCTGCTCCCAGCCTGTGATCTGACCTCAGATCCACCCCACCCAGCTTGGACAGCCACACAACACAAGCAATCCTTTGCTGTTTGTTGTACAAATTTTCTTTGACTTCTCCCCCACAAAGATCTAAACCTACGCACATGTAAACTTCATAAACTGAAACAACACAAAAACAGGAAAAATAAACTTGTTCAATCAAGCTGTGAGACAATATGCTTACATGGTTCTATTACATTTGTAGTTCTTGCCCACATTTTTAGGTTTTCATTTACATAACCTTACCAGCCTCTTTCAGATACCTACAGAGATTCAGCCAGCAAACATGTAACATCAGATATGTCTCCCAAACATTTCCATCTGGAAAAGGTGTTTACAAACATATGTGCTTTTGTAAACTCAACAAAATTTAATGCAACATGAAATCACACCAAATTAAAAGGGGAAAAATCTTTTGATTCTCAAGCATTTTGCCAAAAGGAGAACAATTAAATTAAATAATTCAGATAATAAACTTTTCAATAAGACAAATAACTGTAATAAATACTATATTTAATTTAGGAAAAATTCCTTAAATTGTGAAGTATAAAATCACCACAGTGTTTAAATAATGAAGAGAACACATGACTAGCAAGGTCATGATGAGAGGCAGAGCATAGAATATCCATCGTGAGGAATTGAGTTAAATGCATCTCATTTTCACTTTGTCAAACTTAGTTCACATTCTGGTTGCAGACCAGCATGTTACTTAGAGTAGCAACTATCCACAAAGCAGGTATTGGTTCATTATCATATGATGATCATATATATCATAGTCATATCTTAATTCATTATATCTTCATTCATATCTCAGGTCTAGGGTCAGGTAGGTCAAATCAATACTTCAGAGTTCTGTCCATGGTAAAAAATGGACAATAAAGGGTCACATGACCATAGGCCACAAAGGGAAAAGAACTTACTGAAAATGAGGAATAATGATAAGAATAAAAATCCAGATTCCACTCAAAATAAAGGGAAGACTCTTTTTTCAAGAACATATTAGGAATATCATATGGAAAAATTCAGTTTGATATAATAAAGAAGAATTCTACCAGTCACTGCTTTGAGTAGGGCCCCATTTTAATCAGTATGTGGGGAAAATACCTAACCATTTGTTTATATGGTTTTGTGTGAAAGGCTGAAGAAAACCTCAACCTCAACTTGCAAAGTTCCACAGACACAGGAGGCAAAATAATAATTATAGATGTCATACTGCACAGTGGGATGAAAAGGGAGGAGGAATATGTCCGTAGACAATACTTTTTTTAGCTGTTCATTTTTGGTACCTGGCAAAAATAGACAGAAAAATACTGTTGTCTAGTAAATATTACATGGAGTCAGAACCATAGAGAACCTCCTGACAAGCAGGTTACTTTGTTATGACAGTCCAACATTACTAACTTCATTCTTGGAATAGGTTGTGCCCATACTCTTCACTAAATACAATCTCTAGACTAGAAAAGCTGATCATCATAAATTAAATGAAAGCTTAAAAATATGGAGCATTTCCAGGTTTTCTACAGAGCAAAAGGTAGAAGTACTCTTCTGTGTAATTTTAGAAGATCTTGATATAAATTTCCCTGAGTCTGTGACTGCTCAGCTACTGGGATTTGCTTAGGACTTACTTCTATCAAACAGATTCACTGACAGATTTCACCAACATGTGAATACCATTTTTTCCTATTATTTCATAGATTTATTTTTTTTCCTATTGGCATAGAAAAAAGATTCTTACCAGTAACCTTCAATTCAACCGTCCTTCGTATAAGCTTGCCTTCAAATTTTAGTTCACAGGTATAATTTCCTCCATCTTCTTCCTGGACCTCTTGAATTAAGAGAGTATTTCCCTTCTGAATTACAACGTTTCTCCACATTTTTGGCTCACATTCCTGCAGAAAAAAATCCAGTGCCAAAATTACCAACATAAGACAGTATTGCCTGATCATATTTTCAGTATTATGCATAAGGAAACAACCACCTAAATATATTTTGCAATTAAAATTCAAATGTAATTTCAGAAAGCAGAGAGATCTGAAACTGGAATTAATCTGAAGACTGAAATGAAACAGAAATGTTTCTAAGGTTCAGTTTTTCCTACTGTATCACACAGGCTGTGTTTAATACATGGTGCCCTCAAGCAATGGTTAAGTATCTTTTTTTTTTTTTTCATAACAACTGCCAAGACCTCTCCTTTAGGACGGACCATTAAAATACGTCTCTATTTGAAGGGAGTAAGGGCAACATCTGTTAAGAGCTAGCCTGAAGGCAAATTTTACATATAGTCCCAGGCCAGAACCATTTACCAATAGAAGAAAACATGAAGAACAGCACTTTTTTGAGAGAATTCAGAAGCCTGGTTTCCTCACAGCCTTACTTCTCATCACTGGCTCCTCCAGCACCTGCTGAGCTTTGATTCAGCCTTTTCCCATCACCAGGCACCTTGCAACATCACCTCCACATGCACCCTCTGATGCAGGACATGGTGCTGATAGCCTGCAACTCTCACTGACTTCACCCACACCATCCTCAGCTGGTGTTTGGCAGATTTAGGTTCATTGTTACAAATTGTAGTCCAACTGGGACAGCATTTGAGTCATTCTGGATAGGGTGTGATATAGGGCAAGAAGAGGTTCTCCCCTTCCTAATACACTGGATCCTTGCAGGCAGATCAGTCACCTTCCACATGAGCAGCACTCATGATTGAATCATTCTTGGAATGCTCTGAACAAAAAGCACAGGCCAAATCTAATCACTACTGTCTCTTGAAAATGGCACCTGAAGATTATGTATTTATTATCTCTAAATACCTTTAACATCAAGCCTGTTCTGCCTGCAACAAAACCATACTTTTTAAGTTCTCTAAAGCACTCAGTAGTCCCAACAGTTCCAGAGGCTCTGGCTAATCCTATACCCAGGAAACACAAAGCAACACAGGCCTGAGTGCCTTCAATGCCCCTCTACTCCCTCTCTCAAGGTGGCAGCTCGGAATAAGCTCTCAGACTGCTGCAGTCTCACATCAGTTACACCAGGCTCAGCAACCTCAGAGACTGGTGACGTGCCCACACCTATGCCCCATTTTCTCCTCGTCTACAACAGCAGCGTCAGAAACACAGAAAACAAAATAGAACAAAGCTTTCTTTTAAGAAAACAACCAAACAAGAAAATACGTCAACATGCAAATATATTGTACCACAGTGAGAGATCAGCATGACACAAACATAAATTTTTCATGGACTCCATACGCATTCCGAATCCATGTCAGGTTCTAAATTAAAGGACAACAGTAAAGAAATAAAAAGGCAGGACAGAGAGTTTCTGGCCTTGCACTTACAAAGGGGGACCTGAAGAATTCTCCCTTTCCCTAGGAAGCCAAATTCAGTTACAATATGATCAGATTTCAGATTTGGAAGCTGTGCAACACTACTGCAGGTAACAGAGTGATCAGCACGTCTGTTTCCAAAGTACAGCTGTAAGGAGAGCATCATCTTGTCCCGTAAGTGAACTTTAATTAACACTGGTGATAGACAATGACCAGAATCCAGATCCCATCTGCTGTGCTGATACTCACTCAGGACACATATTTGAGCCAGGAAATGCCATTAAATCCTTTCTGATTTGAGCTTGATATTGATACAGATATGATGATATAGATGATATGAGTTCTATTGGAAGGTACATCAGCCATCTACTTGGAGTAACTAAATCTGAACACTGGGAAAAGAATACGACTCGGTCCTATTCAGTCCTGATTTAGAAGGGATACAATTCTCAGAACACACAAATAAAACATATTTCAGAAATGCACCCTTTAGTGCAGCACTGAAATAACTTATTATGTGTTACCAGTTTTATATTCTCAATTTTTAAAAGTATGGGAACAAAGAAATGGAAGATACATTTTCATACGCTTCATATTTTTATACACAAGTTTGCAATAAGAAGGATGACACCTTTACTACTACAAAGATTAACGATTTAGAAAAACCAGTGTTCGTGCTATTTGTGGTTTTACATTGAGGATTTTTTCTGGTGGAATTGTACTACTAATTTCCTAATTATTTCTTTTTGTATCTTCCTGAAACACTTCCTATTAAAAATTATTTATAAGCCTTTCTTCCCCAAATTTCAGTGAGTTATTTTTTATGCTGACTATGCAGGCTTTACAGAAGTATGTTGAAAATGCTTGTTTATATATTTAATACACAAAAGTAAAAGCAGAAAAGGGGATAAGCTGGAAAATGGCTTAAAAACAAAATTCTTACTAGATTTTATATTGTGAAAACTATTAGAACTAGAATGAAATCCGTATTTTACAGTCAGAGGTCTTCTAATTTCTCTAAAGGCTCATTTCATGGAATCACAGAACAGCTTGGGTTGGAAGGGACCTTACAGATCATCTCATTCCAACACCCCTGCATGGGCAGGGACACCTTCCAGCAAACCAGGTTGCTTCAAGCCCCATCCTACTCGGTGTTGAACCCTTTCAGGGATGGGGAATCCACAGCTTCTTTGGGCAACCTGTGCCAGTGCCTCACCACTCTCACAGGAAAAAGTTCAATATCTGATCTAAACCTACTCTCCTTCAGTCCAAGGCCATTCCCTCCTGTCCTTTCATTACATGCCCTTATGACAAGTCCCTCCCCAGTCATCTTCTAAGCCCCCTTCAGGTACTGGAAGGTGCTCTAAATTCTCCCCAAAGGCTTTAGCCAATTAATTGCTCTTTTCTGCTTTTGCAATATGTTTACCTGCTAGAAGAAACTGTGTTTCTTTTTCTAGACTATTTACTTTCCTTAGACATCTGAAATATTTTGGGGTTTTTTTTTCTGCAGTAATTAAGGTGTGCACTACTACACTTCTTTTTATCTTCCTTGAAATCTAAGTGGCAGTACCTCAAAAGTCTATTTCTCTGGGTAGATAACAACTACCTGTCCTTCACCTGACATTTTGATTGTTCTCTTAGCCCTCCCTTCAGTAGTAGAAAGGACATGATGGAAATGGATTAAGACTCCACACTCAAGATGTAATATACCTTTTCCCTCTGCCAGCTGATTTTTCATGAAACAGCTTTTACTCTTAAATCCCATTCATTCAATCATGCCTTGACACACACCTTTACTTTAAAAAAAAAATCCCACGCGTCTTGTCAAAACAGTTCTAATAGGCATAACTGAGCTGAGCATATATCAATGGCATTAATTGGGGAAGTCTTTAAAAAGAAATATTTAATGAAGTTTAATTCTACTCAGAAGTGAAGCTCATACTACTCTTAAGACAGATCCTCACAACAAATGCTATATTACACACTGGGTGTGCATGTGGAATTCTATTCAGACATAATTAAGAGCATGTTTAAATTACAGTTAACTCCCAGTAAATTGATGCAATTACTAGCTCAGATTCATCATTCCCTCAACACAGAGAAGCCTTTTGAAAGGCAGACCAGGTTCTGTACACAATGGGCTGGCATCATCACTGTCCTGTCTGATGGTATTTCATAGGCCACAAGTCCAAAGCCCCTGATTACCAGTCAACTGGCAGGTTCTCATGAACACAAGAAATTCTCTTTTCAGCAGAAGGGATGAAGAAGGAAATCTCAAGGACTTCCTCATATTTATTTATCTATCTACTGTTCTATTTTGAACAACTTCTGCACCCTGTCTGGGTGAAAATCTCTAAATATTCCAGCATAATGGAAAGGAATACGCACTCTTCCACTCGCCCCTGGCTCCCACCAGTGCCTCTGGAGCAAATTTGGTTTTATGTACACATCAAACTTAAAATCCAAGGTAGGGGGGAAAGACTTGAGGATCCAGAGTGTTATGACCAGACATGGATGCCTTCTTTGGAAAGTGAGGGTCAGATCCCAAGGCAGGATAACACTTTCCACTATTCTTCATGAGAAGGGACCTGCTTCTTGTTAATCATATTGCCTCCCACAGCATGCTCTTAAGTCCCAGACTGCAGTTTGTAGGGGCTACCCCAGCATTCACCAAATTATTTTGAAATCCATATAATTCTGTATTTTCTAGAAATTTGACTTCTGCACTTTTGAATATGCAGACTTTTATTAACAGTAACATAATAGTCTCTAGAATACCCAAAACTCTGTTCAGGAAAAAGTTTCAAGGGATAACCTGACATATATACCTGCTACACAACATTAATATTGTGATTGCACCCTGCTGAGCTTCCTGACTCAGGTCCAGGTAACAAAGATGTTTCTCTGAGAGCCAAACTGATAACTCGTTATTGTTAATTATAGGCAAGAAGGTGTATGTAGTAGCTTATCTCACTCAAGATAGTGAAAAGATAGTCTCTTTTCACTATCAAGCCAAACTAAAGGTTGTCAACTTCGATTGTCTCACTGTTATCATCCAATGACATCAATTCTATTCAATTTCATCTCAGTGATGATTTGTCAGTCAGCTGTCACACTCCAGCCTGGTGTCACACAACCTGTGTGTGACACCCAGACAACGTGGCTGGGGTTATGGAACAGACCCTTCCACTCCCTGTCTTGGTCAGTACAAAGCATCTCTGGTGTGGGACTGCACATGCATCTTCTTTTGACTCATTTCTGCTCCATGACAGCTGAAAATCATTTCTGCCAGACTATTTGTCAGTGTGCTTTTGCAAAAAATTGAGATCTTCACTGATCTGGTGTTCAGTAATACCAAGGTAGAGAGGCCAAGAAGCAGCTTCTCTTCAGTATCCTCTTTGCTCTGAGATTTCCAACTTCATGTGCAGAGCCAAGAATTGGAATCCATGATCCGTGTGAGCCCCTTCCAACACAGGAGATGCTATGATTAACTATATACATATATTTGACATATGAACAGCACTGAAGATATCAACCCATATGCTGAGAGAAAGAACTTCAACTGCTGAAAGAAAAACTTTGTTCACAGTAATAGTCAGTTATGGCACACATTTTGTTACTATAACACGAGATTTCTGTAAAAAACAAATAAATGACAACTTTTATAATTGCTCTTTTCAGCTGCAACCTGCTAAGAAGGAAAAAAATATGCTAGTCTGCCCACATTACTTAATTTCATACAAAATAATTGTCTTTAAAGAATATTATTACGGTTGGCAATTCAAGCACCAAATTACGTTTTAACTAGTTTGTATGTTTCTGTCTGTATTACCTGAACCAAGCTTATCCTAAACCCCTATAATCCAGACACTATTTTCCACAGATGCCACTGAACTGTTCCTCTTGCCCAACTATTTCCAGTTCCTTCTGACTCTCAGCTCTTTTTTCTTCTCTGCTGTTTCTTGCATTGTTAGTACAGGGTATTAGCCCTCAACTAATATCTGAGGGCTTTCCAAATATCAGACTTTGACCCAAGTCCAGACATCAGGCAAAATTTGCCAGACCTTGCTGTGTTCTCATTACCTGATGTTTTCCAGCCAACCCATATTTTCTCATTGTCCTGCTTTCTTGGGGAGCTACAGAAACATGTCACCAATACATCTGCTGATGAAAGTGGTGTAAGTTGACAGGCCTTGGAGAAGGTGCAAGCAGATGAGTTACCTGACAAGTAGTGAAAATATCTAACTGACCTCAGTTAAAATTAACTGACTTCATGGCAGTTACTCAATGAACCTCAGCAGACTTCTGTGCAGACTCCAGGAGACTTTGGTAAAAATTTACAAGTCTAGGTGAAATTATCCGACAGACTCCATAAAAATTAATTGGGCAGCACAACTGAAGCTGGCAGTGCTAACACATCTTTGGCTCCATTGCTTCCCTTTGTTTCTACTCCAGATCATGCAGGAGACACCACACCCAGGTATAAACTGGTACAGAGGCACTGTGGTTTGGGAATGAGGTACTGCTGATAGAGAAGTCCTGTGAGGTCTCTCACAGAACATCCTCGTTGATACTGCTTCTGTTGGACAATGACCACGCTGGGTAGTTTTACCTGCAAAACTGTCATACTGGGACAACACTCTCCAGACCAGTCACAAGCCACTGATGCTTCAGAGAAAGTCAGCTCTAAGCCTCAGACTGAAAACAGTGAAAGTTTTGAACAGTTTCAGCACAACAGGAATAAGACAGCAATAATTACCTTGTACCACACCACATCTGGCTCTTGATTGGCTGTTTTGTAATCTTCAATATCAGGACAGGAGATTGTCTTTCTCTTAGTGACTTCTGATTTTTCCAGATATCTGATCTTGCTGTTGTAGCAAAGCCCAGATTCATTCTCAGCTACAGTCAAGGACATGGACACCTTCATGCAATATGTTGAGTTTCTGCAGGGACAGAAAGATGGTTCCATTTATCCTGCCTTCTTTTCACCGTGTTTGTTTCAGCAACAGTAAGTTTCTTTGCTAAGCTCCCATTTTCACAAACACTTGAGTGACACATTGAAATAGTGACAGCCATGCTGTGCATTTCCAGCACAGAGGAATTACTAGGAAACATAAAGGCTCACTTCTGACTGACTGTGAAGACTATGAAGAACCTTGAAGAAATATTGCTGACGAGATCCAACCCAGCACAGCAGCTCTTTCGAGCTTGTAAGTCTATGAACACAGGAACCTGTTGGCACGTCAAATGTTGGTCAGGATACACTGTCCTATTTCCTCTGTATCCCCCCCACACTTATCCTCACCCTTGTTCTCTCCCACCTTCATGAGATTTCACTCCCGTGTGCAGTGCTATACGTTTGAGAAGAAGGGTTATGTGCTGGATGTTAAAGCACATCACACAGGAAGGATTTCTCTCTGAGGAGGAACTCCTGTACAAAATTCTACAGCACATGATACTGCGGTGGGTCTATCTGGATTAGCTGCCAGCTTCCTACCAACCTTCACTCCTCTCAATGGGATGGGGGAGGAAGAAAATAAAATGAAAAAGCTAATGGGTCGAGAAAAAGACAAGGAGACCACTAACCCATTACTCCCACAGGCAAAATAGACTTCACTTGGAAAAGAAATATTTTAATTAATTGTAAATTATAATAGGTTTGATGGTGAGAAAGATAAAAAAGCTAAAATACATTCCACTCACATCCTCTTTTTCCTCCTCTCCTTCCCCAGGTGGTACAGGGGTGGGGTGGGGGGTTGTCATCTGTCAATAACATCTCCCCACCACCTCTTTGTCCTCATGTGCTCCCCTGCTCCAGCATGGACTGCCCATGGCTGCAATTCCTGTCATAAAAATCAGGTCTCCAGGATCCCTCTATGGCCACAGGGCAGTGACTTCTGGGGCCTGGGGTACCAAAGAACCCCAAAAATCCTGAGAACTATTCTTAATATTAGGGCAGAATAAACACAACCAGCTCTGCTCCCATTCCACATAATCCTGAAAACAGGATTAAATTCCTTCAGCTTTGCAGCTTCAACAGGGCCATCAGACACATACCTTGATGTATTGTGGGGCATTGGCACTCTGGGCAGGGCAGCTGCAGCCCAGGCTGCCAGCTCTGCCCCTCATCCCATGTCACGGATTAAAAACCACAATATAACACAGCTCTTCCTCCCATTGTACATCATTCTGTCATTTTAATTGATTGTGCCACTACCAAGAAAGCCAGGAGCAAACCAGTCGTGCTGGGTGGTTACTCCCATTGGAGGGAGCTGTGGAGAGCTCTTGTGGGAGGTATCTTGGCTTTGCCACTGCCTCCTCTATCACAGCTCTGCCCAAACTGGTTTAGCTAAGACCAGAGGGTGCCCTGTGCACCTGGAAATCATCCATCAGTCACACTCTGACACTAAAGATGCTGGCTGCTCACTCCCACCAACTAGACCCAGGACAATGTTTTTTATTATAAAAAAGCCCAACATGCTCCATGACAACTCTTCTCTGACATTTCCTTCTGTCAAGAGCCTGTAGTTGGGAAGAAAATAAAAAGGTCTACAGGGACACTTCACCAGAGCTCCAAGCTTCACGCTAAACAATGCTGGCAAAACACTGCAAATGGGTTCTTGTCAAAGGTGTGGCATGAGCAAGGATTGGCAGAGAGAGCCATTTGCAAGGCAAATCAGGAGGCAATCTTCAGAAATATCCCATTTTCAGCATCATTAGTGTTATGCATCCAGCAAAACCACAGATTTCATCCTTCCTACTCACTTCTCCTCAAAATGTCACCTATACATCTGTGAAATGGAATCAGTGGATATTTTGTCCATTCCCTCACCTCTGAGTGAAAAGGCTCACTTTGCACATTGACATGATATGTTTCAGTTGAGAGTCTATAATACAGTCTCATTCTCACAAACTGCACAAAACATATTATTTACCTGAAAGAAAATTTCACTGGACTGAAACAATCCATCATTTGGGGTGGGCTTATATAATTTAGGGAAAATGAGTCAATTTCTCCTAAATTAGTTTTGAAAAGGGTTACCCTTCTTGTAGGAAGAAAACAAAACATATTTGAGAGTTTTTACAGCTCTGAAAATTGACAAAATACGAATACAACCACTCAGTATTATCAATAGCAATTAATCAGTAATGATTATTTAGCTTTCCCGAATGACTGTAAATATTACTGAGTGCAAGTAAGGTCACAAACTCTCAGCAATAATAATCCAGGCCAATAAAAAATAATGTCTTTGAATAGTTGTCCATTACTTGGTGTTATTTAATAGCACTGTATTTTCTCCTAACAATCTTACATTATTTAGATTGCATTTTGAACAGTGCTGGAGGCTACTCCTATTTAAAATGCTTCCTGGAACCACAATGTAAAAATGCAGTATGCTTTTCATTAGTTACAATTAGAATTGAGTAGAGTTGAGGAAACTAAGTTACTGGTGAGTACTATCACTTCTGTTCACACTCCATGACCAAAGACAATAAATCTATTCAGGCTCGTGATGAAGAAGGCCCTCACTAAAGCAATAGACGCAAAAGCTTCATAGATGTTTCTTCACCAGCCACTCATATTACTGCTGGTAATCCAGAAAAAGGCAATTTCTGCAGGAATGTCAGTGACTGAAGCAGGAGTCTTCCTTTAATCTAGTCAGCTCTGGAAAACAGTGATACTTCACGTCACGTGCAAAAGGAATCAGTAGTTTGATCAGCCTTGCTGTTTTTCTCAGTTTTGAAGGAGAAATCTGGGAGCTGAAGTCTGCTGAAGTCGTGAGCCATTCCTCCCTGTGCTGGGCAAGTCATTCCCCAAAGCTGGGGTGTTCAATTTCATCTCTCAGTTCTTTCAGCAGCTGATGCTGATTTTTTCTTGGTGTCTTCCCTGCCTTATGGGTTCTGGAGGCATAATAAAGGGGCTCTCTAAAGTTGACAGCTTGAGGGAGAACCCAGGAGGGGGATCACAAAGAGGATTGGTAAAACTTTGTTTTGTCTGCAAATGGACAGGAACAGGGTGGTCCTGGCCACACAGGGCACTGATAAGAGCCCACCTAAAGAGTTCTCTCAGGAAGCCCATAGAGCTGCTGTGTTGGGAAGGCGTCCAGTTCTTTCTTCCCAATTGTTTTTAAGACCCCTGTGTCCACAAGTGCTCTCCTTCATGAGCTGCATTTAAGTTGTTTATGGTAAGGGTCTTTTTCCTTTTTTCTTTTTAGTGAAGGTATTTAGATAAACTAGCACAAACCCCACATTTTTGCTTTTCTTCTTTCAGAAGCTAAACAGAAGACCTATGGATTATTAAAAGGAGGATCCACTTTTGTTTTCAGTACATGGTCGTGGAGCTTTGTGGGGGAGGTCAGTGCTCCCAGCAGTCTCTGGCTGGCAGGAAAGGTTATATGGCCATTTTTAATGAGGAAAGCCGAACACAAGAACAACAGATATCAACAGCAAAGCTACAGGTAACCTGAGCTTTGCTGTCAGAAACAGTGGCCAAAAGGAATGAAAAGCAAGCAGCTTCCAGGTGGATGAGGAAGATGCTGGAGGGCTTCCAGTGATGATCTTAGCATTATGAGGCTAGGTAAGAAGAGCTGTATCTAAGTAGAGAAGGTTGAGGCCCACATGAACCTGTCAGGTGACATTTTCCATATACATGTAAAGGAAATAAACCCATGGGTCTGGAAGTGTGTGTTTCAATAATTTGTCTTTTCTGAAACATTTCCAAACCATTCATTTTCCAAAGGAGTTGATTTCTAGCGGGTTCTAATTTTATAACAAGTAGTAGTGGTCACATGGACAACAGGAAGAAGGAAGAAAAGAACTACTCCACAGTGCAAAGAAGAAAAATTGTCTCATATTTTCACACTGAAATTAAGATCTGTAATTCTCTATTTCAAGGGAATAGTTACACACTGGGCCCACTCTCTTGACTGGAAATAGGAAGAAGGGCTTAGCTCTGCCAGAGTTCACAAAGCAGTTTCCTTTGTTCTGGTGGCAAGGCATCTGTAATCCCTAGGCCACCTGGAGCTGGCTCTGAACCACAAACTGAAGCCAGCTTCGAACCAAAGAGAAAAGCAGAGGGAGAACCAAGGGAGTTTAACAGGTCTCAAAACAAAAGAAAGCAAAACTGTGTTTGGCTTAACTTCGAAGCAAGAACAAAAGGGAAAAGGTTTGATATAAAGAAATGGATAAGGACATTTGAAATTGGAGTGTCAGTCCCTAAATTATTTTTCATCTTGCTTTGGATTCAAGACAATTAATCAGCCCTAAGGCTGAATTCAAATTAAAGTAAATATTCACAACTTTGTCAAAAAGCCTTTTTTAAATTGCATTTGCGTTTCTGCTAAGCGAGGGTGGTTTTTTAAAAGAGTCAAGTAGAAAATTGTCTCTAATATGCTCAGAACCTCCCCCAGCCACCCTCATTTACTGATTTTCTTATAAAGAGGAAGGAGGCAGAAATGCGGTTGAATATTGTATATCTACTAGATTGAAAAACCCCACCTAATTTTGAATTGCATACTTATACAAGAGGATTCACCCTAGTTTTTTTTTTCCCCTTACAGATTCATTTTTCATTGTACTGGATTTTAAACTACATTCTAAGACTTCAGCAGTAGATCCAAAAGTTGGGAAGTGTATTTATCAAAGCAGTGCTTAGGGAACAGCACACCTCCGGCTTAGATCGCACTCGATGTCTCTGAACACTCTGTTTTAATGACATTTTTATTGGTTCACTGACTGTAGGACTGGATAGATCAACCTGTAGATTCATCTCTGCTCATTTTGAGTTAGAGCAACAACAGTAATATCTTGGTTTGAAGGACAGGCATCTGCCAAGGAAGGTGGGAACCTCCCTGAGAATAGAAAATACGACCCACTTCCCTCCAAATTATTATAACTTTGAAATTACGGGGCTTTCAGGCACAGTTATGGGACAGGAGCAGCA